GCCACGTGCCCTGTCACAATGCAGAGGCTGACTGACACGTGTCTTGTCCCCAACCGGACTCTCCGCGACCTCATCGACCGCTGGCTGCTCTCTGATCAGTCTCAGGTTACGGTTAGTACAGGTTCAGGCACTGCAGCGTCACTAGCTAGCTTGAAATTGAGCTTGCAGTCTCAACACCTGGCCATCGAGGCTAAGCTTGAGATACTGAAGAAGGTTAGGGTTCTCTGCGTCGAGTCGGATATCGGTCGAGCTTGCTTGGTTCAGTTGGGTTTCTTCTCTTTGCTGATCGGATTGCTGTTTCAGAGCCCAGATTTTGTTCTTCTTGAGCCGGAGTTTGTTGAAGTTGGTTTAGATTGTGTCTTGAGCTTGGCTCCTTCAACCCAGTTGGATTCACTTAATTTGCTCAGAAAAGAAGCTAGATTAGCTTCATTCTTGGTTCTGCTAGCTCAAGGCAATGTGAAGATCCAAACAAGCTTATGTTACCTAATGGAGACAATCTCCAAATCAAACGCAACGAAAGAACTATGCCAAATTCTTGTGCAATCAACACAAGTTATGAAAATTGTTGCATCTCTTTTACGTAATACGTCATCATCAGATGCAGCAGTCAGAGCTTTATCAGGCATCTGCTCATCAGAATCCAACAGAATCAACGCAATCAAAGAAGGAGCAGTTGATGGGCTAATCTCATACTTAGCGATCTCCAGCAACAACAGCAGTTCAGTAGCATTGGCTACATTGGAGCTGCTCTCAGGGGTTGATTCAGGCAAAAGGGCATTGATCAGGAACAAGGCTGCAGTGGGGGTTCTGGTCAAGTTTGTGTTCAGGGTTCCGTCGACGAAGGAGGACGACGAAGGGAGCGAGCACGCGATCGGGGTTCTGACGGCGGTCTGTTGCGAGTCGGCGAGGGCGAGGGCGGAGGCGGTGGCCGCCGGAGTTTTGAGTCAGGTGCTGCTGTTGATGCAGAGCCAGCGCGGGGCAAAGGCTAAGGCTAAGGCAAGGGCATTGCTGAGATTGCTCAGGTTTATGTGGGGTAAAGATTCAAGTAGAGGTGGAGGTGAATTTTGCCTACTCGTGTAGTTTGTAATAGATTTGACTGCTTGATGTGAATAATCTGTTTTTGTTCATTTACATCCTCTGATGTCCAAACGAAGTAATTTCTTCATCACCTGCAAATGTACAACACAAGGTGCATGTTTAATACCTGAAACATATTGAACTATCACAGACACACTACGCAAAGCATTGACATCGTCACGTGATATCCTCATGGGTGAGCATGGATAAGGGATAATTAACTCTGGTTTGATATCGGAGGGTACAAGTGCTGATTAAAAAGTTGAGAAGTGATGCTGACTAAATCTCTATTATATACAGAGGGTTTTATTTATTTATTTATTTATTTATTTTTGGGGATTTCCTTGAATAAGGATTTCAAAAGTTTCATTGCTATGTAGTTGATTCTAGTTGATATGTCATATAAAAATGGGTGAAATGGGTTAAGTTATAAACATGATAGTTTTTTATGGTAATTAACCCTTCTTAATTCTGATGTCCATATTGAGGCTGAGAATATGTGATATTAAGTAAGAGGATTGACAAACATGTTGATGCTTAATAGAATATAGAGAGAAAGGCTAAGTATATAATATATGGGTATTTTTATCAAAATCTGACAGTTGATCCAAATATATAGCATACAAAGTTGAAAGCATTAAGTATTTGACCAAAATCCAGGCCACTTGCACAAGAATTTTCTCCCTTTGTGATTTCATATTTTTTTTATTTTTAAAAAAATGATGAAAATGAAATAGTGCTGTTTTTAGAGATAAAAAAAATGGAACAGTACTTATTCTGTTGATTACTATATTGTCAAGAAAGGGGGGTTTGTGGAATTTTCATCTCTCTATTTATTATTATTTATATTTGGTCTAAGTAGCAATTTGTTGAAAGAACCAAATAAAAGACTAGACGTCACTAGCATAAAAGTCCAACAATCATAAATACATCTCATTATTTGTAATCATGTGGGTAAAGTATCAGAATTATATGGCAATTATACAATACAAAAGCAGTGGAAAAGTCATGGATACAATCACAACATGCAGCGTATAAGCTTTGATGTACAATTATCATAACTAATTCAGTATATATTTCTTTTTCCTTTGAAAACAAATTAATATTGACTCTTACTCAACCGTATATATGAGTCCAGATTCTTTACAATGTTGATGGTAAAGAATGCCTACAATTAATTATATGTGCTAATACTAGTAATTTATCTCAATTGACCCCATAATTAAATCTTTTTATATAATATAGACAAACAATATCATTCATGGGATCCACTAAAGATGTAGAGAATCTCTACCCTATATGTAGCATGGATTGCATTTAAAGATCAAGATGGCTATAATTTACAGCAACAGTTTTGATTCATTAGCAAGCTAGTAATGATTGGAGATATATATGATTATGGCTTTTCTATGTATGAATATTCTATGTATGAAGATTATGAAGTTATAACAAAAAATATTTTGTTGAAAAAAGCAAAATAAACTTTAGCTGAACTAGAAATATGGATTTATTATTAAAAACTTTATCCTAAAGAAAATGGAGTAAGTGTTCAATCAGCACGACAATTTGAGCATTTGTTTTTGCAAAACAAGAGGGCAATGAAAAGTGCAAACTCTTCTGCCTACAGTGTGTGGTGCAGAACGCTCCACACGATACAGAGCATTCTGATAAGATTTCTACTCTAGAAAGGAGGATATGAGATTGTTTCAACAACTAATATTATTGACAACACATGATGGATTCAGAGAGAACTCCAACTGTATTCCAATGATAAATGAGATGACAGGTTTGATTGGTTAATTACCTCCATCAATTCATGTGTCAAAATTTTCATAATCTGCTCAGTTTGATTGGATTGTTGTCTCAAAAACATTATATAAATACATGGTGGGCTCTCACAGAATAATATATGCGGCCATGCATGCTGATTTGAATAACCTTTAAGTCTGTTAGTAACGGCAGCAATCAAACAATGATGAGCAGTTTGAGCTGCTATCTCCAGATTTACTCCAATAATCCAAGATTGTTGGAGGAGTTGTGTAGAAAAAAAAGGAACTGGGAAACATAAGGAGATGGACTACCTACTCACCATGTGAAATTTCTGAGTGATTCTAAAGTGGGCTCTTTTCTTGTGCTGCTGTAATTTCTTGGTGCCTAAAGAATAACTAGCTCAGATTGCTCCTCTTGTGAAAAATTGTTATCAAGCTCAGAGACAGCAATGTGTCAGATGACAAAGACATATAAACAGGCTCTTTTATAATAAATCAGTGTGCAGTCTGAAAATCATAATAATCATCATAGAAAGTAACGAACACGTGTAAGACCATCAAATTTATCGATAGCGGATAGTATCGTGTAGCGGTTAGGCACCGCTAAGTCTATTTGGGGCTTGTGACAAAATAGCAGCAAAAAGAGCAAAATCAATTAATAGATGTCTAATTTAGATATGTATAAATATTCAAAAAAAAAGAAAAGAAAAATCTATAAAATCTAAAAAGTGCATATTTGATAATCTAAAGAGATCTTAAGCATGAAATAGACATATAACAATCACACAATACTAAAGACAACTGAATCAGGGGTCGAAGAGTCATTGTCATCTGTTATAATTTTGAACTGAGTAGTGAAGAAAACTTTGGCTAATGCTAGTATGATAGAGAATTAGAGAGAGAGAGAGAGATGTAGAAGAAGATAGAGAATTTGGTGCTTTTGTTTTCTTTTTTTTAATTCTTTTGCTTCTGGCTCTATTGTTGATTTGGGCTCTGTTGTTGATTTGAGCTCATGTTGAAGCTTTGGAAGGCTCTCTCCATGGTAGAAGCTTCATTCCTCTTCTCAAGCATTTGGTCAAACGCCTTGATGGATGCGATTGCCTCTTGTAATGAAAGCTTCTCCATATCTTTTGTTTTTTCTATCATACTTATAATGGGGTCATATCTACTAGAGAGAGAAATAAGAATTTTTTGAACTACTCTTTGATTTGTTACATCTTCACCATATGTTTTTAATTGATTTATTGGTGAATCTAGTAAGAAAATCATCGAGTCTTTCTTCTACTCTCATAGAGATTTACTCAAACTCTTTTCTAATAGTTTGAAGCTTAACCGCTCGTACCTTTTCACTTCCACGATACTCTTCTTAGAGGATGTCCCACGCCGCCTTTGTTGTCTCCTCGTTGGAGATCCTGGGGAAGATGGAGTTGAAGACGGCATTTTGGATCAACCCGAAGGCTTTGGCATCCCTCATGTAGTTGAGCTTTAATGTCTTCTGCTCCTCCGGGATGAGAGAGTCTTCGTCTTCTGGCACCTCGAAACCTTTCTCCACCAGCTTCCAAAGGTCATGCGCTTTGAATATCGTCCTCATCTTGATCCGCCAAAAGTCGTAGTTCTCCCCGGAGAAGATCGGTGTTCGTATCTCGTCGGAGGTAGGTTTTGGGTTGGACTCAATGACTATTAGGTCAGCCATTTGAACCCGAGATGCAGTTAGAGAATCGACGGTTGTATCGGTATTTTGAGGAGGCTATTTGGAAGAGTTTTGGTAGTGGGTGTTGGTGTTTTTGTAGAGGTAGGATTTCTTTACACTCAGTTGTCGTAACGAAGCTCTGGTACCATGTTGTAATTTTGAACTGAGTAGTGAAGAAAATTTTGGCCAAGGCTAGTATGATAGAGAATTAGAGAGAGAGAGAGAGAGAGAGAGAGAGAGAGAGAGAGATGTAGAAGAAGATAGAGAATTTGGTGCTTTTTTTCTTTGGCTAAGGTATTCCAGCTCGTCGACGAAGATGGCATCATCATTCATCAGCAGGTCTATGCACAGTCAATCTAATAGGTAGGGTCTCTTGATTGCTCTAGCTGCTGACAAAGAGTCGAAGGTATTCCAGCTTGATGTGAAGTCGGTAATCCTCAATAGGGGTGCTACAAGAAGAAGTCTATATCCATCAACCGCAAGGGTTCAAAGTTGCAGGAGCCGAGGATAAAGTCTACAAGCTCCACAAGACGCTCTACGGTCTCAAGCAAGCACCAAGGGTGTGATATGAAGAGGTCAACTCCTACTTCACCCAACACAACTTCAAAAGAAGCTTTAGTGAAGCCATACTTTACATTCGAAGAGATGAGGTAGATATTCTCATTGTAGCTGTATATGTAGATGATATTATCTATATAGGCAACAGTGATAAGCTTATGCATGAGTTCAAGAAAGACATGATGGAGTTGTACGAGATGACAGATTTAGGCCTCCTTCACCACTTTCTTGGCATGGGGATCTAGCAGGACGAAGATGGCATCATCATTCATTAGCAGGCCTATGCATAGTCAATCTTGAAGAAGTTCGACATGGCAGACTGCAAGCCTGTCTCTACCCCACTGGTGGTCAGTGATAAACTCAAGAAGGGAGACGGTATCGAAGGAGAAGACCTCAACCTCTACAGAAGTATCATAGGGAGTCTCCTCTACCTCTCTAATACTCGACCTGATCTCATGTTTGCCTCAAGTCTCTTAAGCAAGTTCATGCATTATGCAACAAGAGTGCACATGGGAGCTGCCAAACGGGTCCTTAGGTACATCCAAGGCACCCAGAATTTTGGGATCCATTTTGAGAAGAACTCTTCAGCAAAGCTATTCGGATTCTACGATAGTGACTGGGGAGGTGATGAAGATGACACGAAGAGTACCTCTGGATACTGCTTCACACTCGGATCGAGTGTGTTCTCCTGGGCATCGATGAACCAGGAGTTTGTGACACTATCAACTGCAGAAGCCGAGTACATGGTGGCTTCTCAAGAAGCATCACAAATCAAGTGGCTGAGGGATATGCTTGAAGACATTGGCGAAAAACAACTGCAGCCTACTCCTCTCCTCTGCGACAACAAGTCAGCGATCGCAATGGTAAAGAACCCCGTCTTCCACCAAAGGACGAGACATATCAAGAGAAAATACCACTTCATCAGGGACACGATCGTGGATAATGAGATGGAGTTCATCTACTGCAAAACTGAAGATCAAGCTGCA